GACAGCAACTTGTCTGTTCCCCTTCCCCCAATTCCCCAGTACTGTTCCCATCCCCCCAATTACCCAATTAAAAAAAAAAAAAAAAAGAATACAGCTATAATACAGGTAAGGATGATAGGCCAAGAGAAGGAAGCCAGGGATGGAAAAGACCTTTGGAGCAGATGTAGTTGACCTCTCTTGCTAGAGGCAGGACTTAACCCCAGCCAGATCATTGTTATGAGTGGAATGATCTCCACGAAGCAGGTGGACGCATTCCTGTTCTGTTAGACCTCTATCTACAGCATCTAGTGACAGCAGGGCACTGGGGATACAACTTTGGAAGAGAGATGATTCTTGTCTTTAAAATTACATCAAGGGGAACCTATATGTACAAATATATAACATTTCTTTATGCGGTAGAAGCCCGCAGACTTGAAAGATACAGAAATTCAGAGGAAGGAGAGATACAAATTCAAATTGGGGGATCTGGAAAGACTTTTAAGGAGAAGGAATCTCTTGAGTTGGGCTTTGAAGAATTAGTAGGATCTGGACACATAGGGCATACTAGAGAGAAAACGAGCAAAGTATGGAAACGAGAAAATAGCATGTTTAGGGAATGGCAGACAGGGCTACAGGATATGGTTTGTGGTTAAAAGTGGTATGGTGAAAAATTGTTTTTAGAAAGCAGGCTGGAACTGGATACTGAAGGTTTAAATATAAATGAAGAATTTAATATCAGTGCTGAGCCACAGAAGAATTTTATTCAGGGGAGTAATATGAGGAGAGCAACAGCAACATTGCTTTCTTTCTAAAAGCCAAATCTCAAATCACTAGAAAACTAGAGAAGTTTAATAATGGGTGAGGTTTTTCTGGGTTAAATAGCATGTAAAGAATATAATGCAGGCTGTATAAATGAGCCTTACAGGGAAAAGCCTAGGATGAGGGGCAGCAAATTCCTTTTCAACAAACCCTGTTTCCCTGAACTCCATGATGACACAGCCTTGTGAAGGAGAAGTTACGTCCTCTTTTTCCTGCCTTGATTTTCAAATTATGTTTCTAATCAAGTGATAAACCCAGGAGTTGCTGGAGAGAAAATACATTTGATTGATTTGTTTTTCCAAGCTACATTGCTGATTGAAGGGGTGCTATAAATAATAGAACAAAATCTCAGGCATGAGAACATTGAGCCCATCCTGTGTGAACTCCCTCTGCTTCTCTCCTTTCTACTTCACCATTTCTCTATCATTCCCCTTTTTCATCTTTTTCTACAACATCAGAGCAAGAAGGAAATCTTGCCTCTCCAAGGCCAACCCAGGTTCCCGCATTCTTGACCTCATTCCCTCTGCTTATTTTATCAGCCTCCCCTCCTCCTCTCCTTACATTTTGTGTCTCTCTATTTGCTCGTTTCCTTTGGGCTATACAACATAAGTTTCCCTTATCCTTGTCGTTGTAGCTTTTTCTAAACCCACTGTCCTTTCTCTGCCCTTCCCATCCCTGACAAAGTCCAAGGACTACATTTTCAGTTCCCACTCCTGCAAGCTGGCTTCTCCCTTCACCTTTCTACCAAAACTGCTTTCTTACAGGTGACCTCCTGGGTGACAGGTTAAAGACCTGTTGTAGCTCTTGTCAACCTGAATTTTTCTGCAGCATTTGATGTTGTTGACCACCTCTGTCTTCCCTTCTCTGCTTCTTGTTTTTCCCCCTTCTGATCCCTAAATTAGGTGCTTTCCACAGATCGATCCTTGGGTCTCTTTCCCTTTACATTAGTGATTCTCAAACTAGGCTACACATAAGAATAACCTGAGAAATTTCTTAAAGTCGTAATGCCCAGGCCACACTCAAATCAATTAAATCTGTACCTCTGGAGGTAGGGCTCAGATATCAGTTTTTGTTTTAAGGGATCCTTGGTGATTTCATTGTTCAGCCAAGGTTGAGAACTACTGTTCTATTCATTCCTTTTTGTGACTCCCATGGGTTCAGCAACCACTCTGGCCTTGGTGTGTTTAAACATTTATGCCACAGTGCAAAATCATCACGTATAAAATTGAACCCATTTGCCCCAGCTCCCACTCAAATTTATTCCTGTGTTCTCTTCTGTTTTTGTTTTTTCATTCTGTCATTGTTCTTCCAGACACACTTGGAACTTGGAATCTGAGTCATTTTCCTTTTCTCCCCGTCCTTGTCTTCTGCATTTAAGCAGTTGTCAAATTCTGTTGATTATGCCTCTGAAATTACTTATTCCTCTGTCCCCTCCTCTCTGTTACCAAAGAGTCAGCTTTTTTTTTTTTTACTGCTCCAGTCAATGAAAGGGAAACTTTATTGAAGCCCCAGGACCAAGGGGTTTGGGCAGGAGGCCGCCTATGGGCCGAGCAGGTGACGGAAGGGCCTTATTTGACCTTCTTGGGACATAAGTTGTTGGTGTGGCCACACTTCTTGTGGCAGTTGACAGCACAGAGATGCAGGTGGGCGTAACACTGCTGCAGATCATCTTGTCACAGTGTTTTGGGCAAACTGGTGGAGGGAAGGCTCAATGATACCACCCTGCAGACAAAGCACCAAGTGCAGAGTGGCCTCTTTCTGAATATTATAGTCTGAGAGAGTGTGGCCGTCTGAGAGAGTGTGGCCATCCTCCAGCTGTTTGCCTGCAAAAATCAGACACCGCTGGTCACGTGGAATGCCCTCCTTGTCTTGGGTTGTAGCTTTGACGTTCTCAGTTGTGTCACTGGGCTCGACCTGGAGTGTGATGGTTTTGCTGTCAGGGTCTTCACAAAGATCTGCATCTTTGTGTCTGATGGGGAGGCTGCTCTGCCGTCTTGTTGAAAATACCAGCTTTTTGAGCTGGTATTCCTGGCTCTGCTCTTTAGTTCTAAGCCTACCAGCTGGTGGATGAGTTACCAGATGACAGTATAATGTTATCCATGTCACTCCTTTTCCAAAACCTCTTGAGGACATCCTATTGCCTGTAGCTGACTGTAAAAGATCCTTCCCTGGTAGTCTGGACCAAACTCTTATAGTCTTCATTTATCCTGGGTTCCAGGCAAACTAAACTTCTAGTTCTTCACTTTCTTTTACCTTAAATGTTAAGTACTGAAATGTTACCCGTCTTTGAAGGTTTGATTCAGATTCCACTTCCATAAATCCTGATATCACATTCTCCCAAGCTAAAACTTATTTCTTCCTCTTGAGCTTCTGTGACACTTTCCCCATTCTTATAGTCTCCCTCCAATGTTGGATCTAGGAAACTGGATATGATCTAATAACAGTCCAAGAAACAATTTTTTCAAAAGGAAACTGGTAGTGGAAATTTTTGTCAGAAATCGGGGAAGTTGCTGTAGTATTTGCTTAAACAAAAAGAAGTAGATATTTGAATTAGGGCTGGCAAAATCATCCATATTTAGAATTTTCATGTTTTCATGTAATATCTTGTCTGTGATTTTTTTCAGATCTGATTCGAACTATCCGGGACCCAGAGAAGCCCAATACTTTAGAAGAACTGGAAGTGGTAACGGAAAGTTGTGTGGAGGTTCAGGAGATAAATGAAGAGGACTATTTGGTTATTATCAGGTTCACACCAACAGTACCTCATTGCTCTTTGGCAACTCTTATTGGTAAGGTTTTATATCTACATCTATTTATTTAATTCTAAATTATTCCAGCTGATATTGACCCAAAATTACAATTAGCATCATGTATCACACTTTGTGGTTTGTAGCGTATTTTCATGTATACTTGTCCTGTATTCATGGGTTCTGCATCATGGAGTCAACCAACTGGGGATCGAAAATATTTGGGGAAAGAAAAGTCAACATTGTTCTGAAGTGTACTGCATAGTTAGGTCTAAGATGGTTGTGTCTGTCTATACTGAACATGTACACACATTTTTTCTTGTCATTATTCCCTAAACAATACAGTATACCTACTATTTAAAACATAGCGTTTACATTGTATTAGGTATTGTAAGTCATCTAAAGATGATTTAAAGTAAACGGGAGGATGTGCATAGGTTATATGCAGATACCATGCTATCTGATGTTAAGGGACTTGAGCATCCATGGATTTTGGTCTACAGAGGGTCCTGGAACCAACCCCCTGCTGATACTGAGGGACGACTGCATTCATCTTCTTTAGTCCTCACAAGTAGCCTATGAGAGGGTTAGTATTATCTTCATTTTACAGTTGAGGAACCTGAGGTGCAGAGATTAAGCTCAGAATCACATTGCAAGGAAATACTGAAGCTGAGGCTCAAACCCAGGTCTCCTGACTCCAAATGTGTTTCTCCCTCAGTTACACCATGCTGCTTCTCTTAGGTGGACAATTAATGGAGAGTGGGTGTGGGCCATCTTCTCAGCTCTGGAGATTGGAATGGATGCTGGCAGACTAGCACTATTGCCATCACCATCTCCTCTTTTTAGCTGTTCTGTTGGCATCTGTAGTATGGGCACAAGTCCTGGTGGAAGGATATTTTTTGAGGTAGTTTTCTATTTGAGAGGCTGCATTCCTACCATTTTGGATTGTTAGCAGTAAGATATACAATCGATGTCTGTAGGTGTATATCTGTTATATACTTTGTTATCAAGAAGATAAAGGCAGTTTATTTCAAATCAAATGTTCATTGGCAGGAGATTGATTACGTATCAGTGATGGTGTATATTAGCAATGGAATGCTATGCAGCTATAAAAAGGAATGGAAAAGCTCTCCATGTACTAATATGGAAAGATCTCTTTAACGTACTGTTAGGAAATAACAGCAAGTATAACATTGCTACATCTATGTAAAAAAAGGCAAAGCTATACATTTGTATTTGACTGCATATACATAAAGAACATGTAAAGAATGAGTAACTCAAATGGAGGATGAGTACTAGTGGCAGTGGGAACTGGTGCGATGGAGGACAGGGTAGGAGGCAGTTTACTGTATATCTTTTTAAGTTTTTGAACCATGGGAATACATTGCCTATTTTAAAATAGACAAGTTTATAAAAAGGTTTGAAAAGGCAAATATTTTATTTTATTTTATTATTATTTTTTTAAGATTTTATGGGGAATTAGGGGAGGGGAACAGCGTTGGGGAATCAGGGAAAGGGAACAGACAGGTTGCTGTCCTTTTGTTCTTCAGTCTAGTTGTGGAGGACGTTGCTTCACTGGCCCATGTTGGTTTTATCATTGCGCTCTTCCCGGCTGAGGCAGTTGCTTGCTGGCCATTGGGCGGCAGCTCACTGCACTCTACGCTGTTGCTGAGGACTCAACGGCAGCCCAGCTCCAGGTGGAGCTGTTGTTCACCATCTTAGCTGTAGAGGGCAGTGTCACTGGCCCTCATATGGGATCCAAACCCAGGTCCTGCTGCTCAGAGTTGGCGTCCCAAGCCAACTCAAGCAACGCGCCACTCAGTTGGCCCAAAAAAGGCAAATATTTTATTATTCTCCCACTATTGTTGTGATTTCTGTCTTCCTTTTCTCACTTGTTGACCTGGGATCCCTCTTTTAGTGGTTTCCAGAATATGGGCCACATCTTGAGGGTCCATTAATCCATGGATACTATTGTAGTTATTAAAACTCCGATGCTAGAGAAAGCATTGTTGAGTTCATATTTATTTTTTGTCATCGAACAACTTCTGAATCAGCAGATATCAAAAATACTGCAACTACCCTAATGTGAAAGCGTGTCTTAAAATATTTTGATATATAAGAATCCTTAAATAGATGGTCTATTGCCTACCCTAAGAGTCTATAGCAAATTGATTTTTCATAAAGTAAAATTTATTTTGTATTTTTTCAATCATAAAAGTAACATGTTTATTGGCAAGAATATTGAAACTCCACAAAAGTATAAAGAAGAAAATAAAAATAAGCTGTCATAAAAGATTGTGTGCTCTTGGCTAAAATTCCAGCTCTGCCCTGCCATTTTATGGTCTTGGGCAAGTTACTTAACCTTTCTGAGCCTCAGTTTCCTTATCTGTAAATTAGAGATAGTAGGGTATCTATAGAGTTGTAAGGATTAAGTAATAGAAAGCATGAAATAGAGGAAGAATGTTTTTTTTATTTCTCATTAAATATTATTCTTTAATTATATAGTCATATAGATTACAAGCTAATCACATCGATACAGCAAAATTGTTATAACCATTTAGATTACTGCTGGTCTTCCACAATTATAAATAATACTGTGATCAACAACTTTATCTCTAGCTATTGTCTCAAGATAAATTCCTATAAGTGGAATTACTAGGTCATATGGTATAAATATTTTTATTTTTTATTTTTTTAAGATTTTTATTGGGGAATTGGGGGAAGAGGAACAGACAAGTTGCTATCCTTTTGTTCTTCAGTCTAGTTGTGGAGGACGTTGCTTCACTGGCCCAAGTTGCACCATCATTGCGCTCTTCCCAGGCGAGGCAGATCAGTCACCGGCTTCTGGATGGCTGCTCACAGTGGCTGCTGGCCGCTCAAACTGGCTGCTGGCTACACACGGTAGCCCATGGCAACCCACTGCAGCAGGGGCTGCAGCACCTGCCATCACTGGTGACTCCCGGCAGCCCAGCTTCAGGTTGAGCTGTTGTTCAGCATCTTAGCTGTAGAGGGCAGTGTCACTGGCCCTCATATGTGGGATCCGAACCGGGGCCCTCTGGCATCCCAAGCCAGCTCTTAACCAACGCGCCACTCGGCCGGCCCTGGTATAAATATTTTTAAGCCTTTGGGTGAGTGCATATTAGCAAATCCTTATTTAAAAGTTTTTACTCTTTGACCGAGGAATTAAGGAAATAATTCCATAGAAGAAAATAGCATGTGTAAAACGTTTATGGTAAATTTATAATAATGAAACCTGGAAGAAACTACTGTATAGTATCCATCAATGAGGAAATGGCACCAATATGACGGGATTTCATATTTCTATTGAAAATGATGAATTTAATCAAGGAATCAAAGTATCTGTGTGAGAAATGTATGAAAAAGCTTGAATGATAAGTTGAATTTGCATATTATGTTGCAGTTATTGAAAACCTGTTTATGTGACAGAGATTGGAGAGCACATGAAATAAAAATAAATGTATGTAACGGTGCCAAAATTAGATTATGGTTGAAGTTTCAGATCTGTACACTTGAACAAAGTTTTGTCACTTTTTTTTTTGGCCCTTTTGATATGGGCTTCAGTTAAGACCCTTGGCTTTTTACATGGTAGTATAGTAGTGTACCATAGTAATTGTGTTCAGTCAACATGATTGGAAAACTCAAAGATGAGAGCCCTCTTTCTGGTTGATGTATTGGGAGGCATTTCCTATGGGCAAGTAGCACTAAGCAAGGAAAGGCACCTGAGTAATAGTGCCACCCTGACTGCTTAGGTTGTCACCTACTCAGTTACCCTGGTGACACAGACAAGGAAGAGTAAAGAGGATGAGTGGATAAGGCAGAGAAACCAGCTGATAGCCATTTGTGTTGACTTAGTTCAGACAAGAATAGCTGAAGGCAGGTGTGGTCCAATGTGAAGGGCATAGGATTTGGAATGAGAAGGTCTAGATTCAGCTCCCAGCTCTGCCACTTTTTATCTATGTGATATTGAACAAATCACTTATCTTGGTTCCTGGCTATAAAATGAAAATGATAAAATAGCAATAGCTGATGTTTATTGGATACTTATTATATGCCAAGTACTGTTTTGAGTACATTACATAATAATTTATTTATTCCTCATAACAACCTTATGTATAGTGGTACTATTATAATACTTGTTTTTACTCTTTGATCCAGGAATTAAGGAAATAATTCCATAGAAGAAAATAGTTCCATGTACAAAACATTTATGGTAAATTTACAATAATGAAACCGGGAAGAAACTATAATATCAGTATCTATTAATAAGGAAATGGCACCGATATGACGAGATTTTCATATTTCTATTGAAAGTGGCTCTGTTGGTTAAGAGCTCGCTCAAGAGTGTGAGCTCTGAGCAACAGCTGTTCGAGTCCTGGCCCGAGCTGAGCTGCCGCTGAGCTGCCAACAGGTGGCAGGACGGCTCAGCTAAAAAAAAAGACTAATTTAATTAAGGAATCAAGGTATCTGTGTGATAGGAAACTGAAGCTCAGAAAGGTTAAGTAACTTGCCCAGGGTCACACACTAGTGTGTAGTGAAGCCACTTTTGAACCCAAAGTATTTCAGTTATGCTATACTGCCTTTCTCTCTCTCTCTTTTTTTTTTTAAGATTTTATTGGGGAATTGGGGGAGGGGAACAGACAAGTTGCTGTTCTTTTGTTCTTCAGTCTAGCTGTGGAGGATGTCGCTTCACTGGCCCATGTTGGTATTGTGATCATTGCGCTTTTCCTGACTGAGGCAGTCGCTTGCCGACTTTTTGGCGGCTGCTCATGGCGGCTCACTGCAGCCTACACTGTCGCCCGTGACTTACAGCAGCCCAGCTCCAGGTCGAGCTGTTGTTCACCATCTTAGCTGTAGAGGGCACAGCGTCACTGGCCCATGTGGGATCCAAACCGGGGCCCTGCTGCTCAGAGCTGGCGTCCCAAGCCAACTGTTAACCAATGTGCCACTCAGCCAGTCTTTGGTCCTTTTTAAGTGGCTCTTACTTGGTTTTAAATTTTTGCATGGCCAGGCCTGTTGTGGACATTCAGTAAAGTTTAATGAAGAATTTACCTTTGCTTGAAGGCAAATTGATGTAGTAGAAAGGACCTCGGCTTTGCAGTAGTCTTGTGTTTCATTCCTTACTCTGCCGTTACTAGCTCAATGACCTTGGGCAAGTTACATTGTGACTTTGTTTCATAATTTGTAGAGTGGGGTTGATAATACCTAGCTCACTGGATTATCATGAGGAATATGTAAGACTCTATCTACATTAAAGTTGCTAGCATGGTGTGAGGCTCAAAGGAGACATTCAATGGATTGAGCTAAAGCTGTTTTCAGCTACTGTGCTGTATAGAGATGCCTAGAACCAATAAGAAGGGATAATTGAAGCTTTTTTTTTCTTCCATAGGGCTATGCTTAAGAGTAAAACTTCAGCGGTGTTTACCATTTAAACATAAGGTAAGGAAGATGTTTTTTGTTGTTTTATAACAGTTTTATTGAGATGTAATTCACATATCATACAATTCACCTGTTTAAAGTATACAATTTAATGGTTTTCAGTATATGCACCAAATTGTGCAAAATCACTACTATTAATTTTGGAATATTTTTATCATCCCAATGAGAAACCCCATGTGGATAGCAGTCACTCTCCATTTCTCCCAAACACTCTCTCATCCCTAGGCAACCACTGATCTACTTTTTGTCTATAGATTTGCCTATTCTGGATGTTTTTTTTATTTTATGTTTTAAAATTAGTTTTAGGTGTACAAAACAACATGACGATTAAACATTTACACACCTCACAAAGTAATAACCCCAACAAGTCTACTACCCATCTGACACCATATGTAGCTATTATAATACCATTGACTATATTCCATATGCTGTATTTTAGAGCGTAGTCATGGGATCGTGACTATATATATATATATACACACATATATATATATGCTTTTAATTATAATTGACATTCAGTATTATTTTATATTACTTTCAAGTGTATAGCGCAGTCGTTTGGCATTTATATACTTTATGAAGTTATTCCTCCATAAGTCTAGTACCCATCTGACACCATACATAGTTTTCTTTTGTTTTTTGGGTTTTTTAAAAAAGATTTTATTGGGGAATTGTGGGAGGGGAATAGCGCTGGGGAATTGGGGGAAGGGGAACAGACAAGTTGCTGTTGTTTTGTTCTTCAGTCTAATTGTGGAGGATGTTGCTTCACTGGCCCAAGCTGGCACCATCATTGCGCTCTTCCTGGGCAAGGCAGATCAGTCGCTGGCCTCTGGACGGCCGCTCACAGTGGCTGCTGGCCGCTCACGCTTGCTGCTGGCTACACACGGTAGCTTATGGCAACCCACTGCAGCAGGGGACTGCAGCCTACGCCATCGCTGGCGACCCACAGCAGCCCAGCTCCAGGTCGAGCTGTTGTTCAGCATCTTAGCTGTAGAGGGCAGTGTCACTGGCCCTCATATGTGGGATCCTAACCGGGACCCTCTGGCATCCCAAGCCAGTTTTTAACCAACGCTCCACTTGGCCGGCCCCATACAGTTTTTACAACATTATTGACTATATTCCCCATACTATATTTCACATCCCCATTACTGTTTTATGACTTTCAATTTGTACTTCCTAATGGATATTTTGTTTAAACGGAACTGTACAATTTGTAGTCTTTTAAGACTGACTTCTCTTAGAATAATATTTTCAGAATTTATGTATGTTGTAACATGTATAAGTATTTCATTCCTTTCCATTGTGTGGATATACCATATTTTATTTATACATTTATCAGTTGATAGACATTTGGGTTTTTTCCACTTTTTATCGATTATGAATAATGCTGCTATGAACATTTGTATACAAATTTTTGTGAGGGCATGTGTTTTTATTTCTCTTTCACCTAGGAGTAAAATTGTTGGATACTACGGTAACTCTATATTAACTTTTTGAGGAACTCCTAGACTGTTTTCCACAGCTGCTCCACCATTTTACATTTTCATCAGCAATGTATGAGTTTTGATTTCTCTACATCCTTGCCAACACTTACTATTGTCTATCTTTTTCATTGTAGCCATCCTAGTGGGTTTGAAGTGATATCTCATTGTTGTTTTGATTTGCATTTCCCTGATGGCTAATAATGCTGAGCATTTTTCATGTACAAAATCTTAAAACCAAGTAACAGCCACTTAAAAGGGCCATAAGAAACCTCTCAAATTTGGCATCTTTTATGCCTGCAAGGTACCAAACCAACTCTTTGGTTACCCTGAGGCATAGTTCTTATAGGAATAGCAGGGTAAATGCTTGCCCCTTCCCCTTTATTTACCATTTTTCAGAATAATGAGTCATGCATAATTTTAAACCAAAGTAAATGAGTATGGAGTGAATTTATATACCTTTACTGTGTTGTCTAGAATAAGAGTTAGTGTTGTGCCACTAGGGGAATTTGTGTGGTGTTTTGTCTTTTAAAAAAGATGGGACTAGATGATCTCTAAGGTCTCTTTTAGCCATAATAGGCTCTGATTTTTTCACTCATGAAAACATTTATCTCAGTAGTAAGTAAGTATATAAGAATTAGTTCATATGCTCCAATGTTCTCTGGAGCGTAAACATGTCTTTATCATATAAAATGATTTATTTACCACAGGATTTGCAATAATTTTGTAGGTTTCTCTCAAAAGCTCTGGTTCTTCGAGGGTAGCTAATCTGAGGGAGTGTGTGCTACAGGGCCAAGGGGATAACTTAACCAATGTTATACTTGAGAATAAATTTATCAAGATAAAAGTGAATGAGAAGAGGACACCGAAAACTACACTGTGATTCCACTTTTGTAAAATAGGCACCTAATCTTGGGGTGTATGTGTCTGTGAAATCTGTGTTATATGATGGGAGCATTGAGAAAAATATGTAAGAGACTGCACTAGATTATTTAGTAATAATTATTTAGTAATTGGGGGTGGGGCAGGGAGGAAATTTAGATAACTGATTTGGGAGGAAGAGGTAGAGTACAGGGGAGAGATATGTATGAGTAAAACATGTATGAGATCTCATTTGTGTAAAATTGTATTAGTTTGTATTCATAAAAGAATACTGGAATACCTCTTGTAGGACATTTCCCAGGTGACCAAAATTAAAACTGCTGCTCATTTCAGCACTTTTAGAGAAGAATCAAAGGGATTTGTCCCTATGTCTTTGATGGTACAAGCAAGATCTATGGGCTTTCATCCCTAGGCTCTTGAGTCCATTGTACATTTCAGCTCACTCATCATCTTAGAATACTCTAAATGTTTTGCTTTTAATATTTTTTCTTTCTAGTTGGAAATCTACATTTCTGAAGGAACCCACTCAACAGAGGAAGACAGTAAGTGAATTTTGAACTATTATTAAAAAACAACTTAAGATAGTACTTTATCTTGGAGACAAGGTTATTCTGCCAGCCAAGTATCTACTGGGTCATTTGCAAAAAAGTGCAAAATCAGTTATTAGCTCTTCCTTGAGGTGGGGAAACCTAGACATTTCAAGGAAGTAATTTTTTCAGTAGGACTTTAGGTGAATTAGAGTTAGAATTTGTAGCTATTGACTGGTTTTGGCCAGTGGCTACACATCTATAAAGAACTTCCAGCTCTAAGAACTTTGATTTATAAGATCTAAAGAGGACTCAATTCCTTTCCTTGGTGGTAGAATAGAGAGCTGTGTACTTGAAATTGAAATTGAAGGTCTAGCAAGTAAAGCTTTAGGGAATCTTCGGGTAGATGTTGTCTTTGTGAGTTCATGTATGAAAATGGGAGTGGGAAACCTTTTTTATAGAGAAGCTCTCTGGCCTACAGAGAGAAGTCGATTAGAAGCTGCTTAAAACTAGCAGGGGTGGGGTTTGGGAAAATCAAAAGACAAAATGTTTCATATAACCTATGTGTTACATTGAAAACAATAGCATTTTATCTACAAATGATAGAATGCAAATAATGAGAAATATTGTACATTTAAAGTGCATGTTGTACTTAGGTTTCATTGCTAGGGAAATTGAGAACTTGGAAAAAGACAGCAGATGATGGGAGGAAAGGGACAGTGATAGAGTAAGAGCAACAATAAGACAGACGTACTACAGAGGAAGACAGTGACTCAGAAAAGCACACGAACGAAGAGATGCACGAAAACACAAACACAGAAGAGAGCTGCAGAGAGGGAAGCCCCTGCTTTCAGAGGAACAGTCCATCCAGAAAACTTTTTAAGTATTGTCTTGTACTATAAACTACTAAAATCATGTCCTATTTTCACAGTTCCCAATATGTACATTATTTTACTCCTCATGGGCTAAGTTTACTCAAATCTCATAAACTGATGGCTTCTACCTCTTAATTTATTAAAGAATACAAGAGTTTAGGCACCCTAAATCCACTCTGGTTATATTTTTGAAGCTCCTCTTAGTTATGGGATTTTATAACACCATAGTATTAAGCCTTATCATTCTGGATTTTTCATTTACTAAGTATTTATTGAGTGCTTTCTATGTGTAGGCAATTTGACCTTTGAGGTACATTCTTGCCCTTGTGTAGGAGGAAGAAACAAAGAATTAAAATTGTTTACATAGGAATATATATGTTTTCTACATGTGACATTTAGCAGGATCCCAGAAAAGTTAGTCCACATTAAAAACATGGACATCTCTCTTTTGAACTTTTCCATCAGGAGTGCTTTTAGCAAATTATAGGCAACAGATATGGGCCAATACCTTTATGTGAAGATTCATGCAAACTGTGTTTTTTTTTAAAAAAGACCCAGTAGATTAATAGAAAGAGACAACAGAAAATTCACACAAGAATAAATAAACATGGGAAAATGTTATCTCACTATAAATGAATTGCAAGTTACAACAATAATTGGAGCCATTTTCCATTTCCTGGTGTGTGTGTGTGTGTGTGTGTGTGTGTGTGTGTGTGTGTATTTGTTTCTATTAATAATACTGGGTATTTTTGACAAACTGATTGCTCATGTATTGCTGTTGAGAATATACATTCATAAAAAATATTAAGAAGTTACTCAATGATATGAATCAAACCATAAAGATACCCTCTGATCTAATAATCCCACTTTTAAGAATCTTTCCAAAAGAAGGCTATATGTTTAAAGGTGCTCACTGTAGCATAGTCTTCATAATTAATTCAGAACACTTATAATTTTTGCTGTGATATTATAAATAACCCTATTGTTTAAAACATAGGCTTAAGGGGAAAAAAGAGCAGTTTTCAAAATTGTATTTAATCTGAATGTAACTATATGGCAATATGTATGTGGACAAAGACTGGAAAGAAAGAAATGAAAATAGTTGTGGTAGAGTAGTAGGATTATAGGGAATATTTTTCTTGATAAGCCTCCCTTTCAGAACTTATGAATAATTAGCCAAAACTAAGTTCTCAATGAGTTAAATTTTCTGTTTTAACAGGCTAATAAAAATAGTGTCTGTCACCATATACTGACACAGTTTTTTTGCTAAGTTTTTTCTGTGTGTTTTGCAGTCAACAAGCAGATAAATGACAAAGAGCGAGTGGCAGCTGCAATGGAGAACCCCAACTTACGGGAAATTGTGGAACAATGTGTCCTTGAACCTGACTAATAGCTGTTTTAAGAGCCACTGAACTGTAATTGTTTTATATATTTGTTTAAGCTCTTTATAAAATATGAAAGACTCATGTTTAATACATAGGTGATTTGTACCTCAAAGCATTTTTTTAAAGGATGATTTCCAAACAAGATTTAATTATAAGGTAGTACCTAGATTGTTCAGTGTATAACATTCTCAGGATTTTAACACTTAAATGATCAGACAGGAAAATATTTTCTAGTTGTTATGTGTAAGATGAGTTGCTATTTTTCTGATGCCCATTCTGATACAACTACTTTTCATGTCAAATATTTACTGTGCCCAAATGTATTCAATTTAAATCATTACTCTGTAAAATAAATAAAACAGAGATGATTCTTATAATGACACACCTTAGAGTGTTTTTATTGAATTGTAAATTTCAGTGTAAATGTCAACTCTAAAATATATTTCCAAAACTTTATTTTCTGATTATTTAGAATCGGAGATCTGAGAACCAAAAAAACCCTTAAGATTAGCCGTAGGCCCTGCCTTCCTTCAAGGAGAGTCCTGGACCCATTTATAGATGAGGAACAAATGTGCAGAGGGCCAGATGACATATAATTTTTAAGATCAAGAAGTCCCCAAAGATGTTTAGATTAAACCAGTCTCAATTCATGGTCTCTTTACTTGTACTTTGTTCAGTTTGTTTGATCATTTGAAGTGTAATGGGGTGGTATGAAGCCTCCAAGATGGCCCTCAATAATCCTCATTTCCTGTTACTCATGCCTTTATATAGTTTTCTTCCATATTGAATTTGAGCTGGCCGGTATGACTGCTAAAGAATCAGAGGTGACAATGTGTGACTTCTCAGTCTAGACATAAAAGATGTTGCTGCTTTCCCCCTTGATCTATTGGATTGCTCATTCTTCGGAAATCCAGCTGCCATGTCATGAGAACACTCGACCAGCTCTGTGGAGAATTCCACATGGAGAAGAATTGAGGCCTTCCACCACCAACCAGCAGCAACTTGTAAACTATGTGAGTGAACCATGTTGGAAGCAATCCTCCAGCCTTTCAGGCTGGTACCTGGACTGGAACCTCTTGAGACCCTGAGCCAGAACTGCTTAGCTAAACCACTCCTGAATTTCTGACCCAGAGAAGCTGTGACCAATAATAAATGTTTATTGTTTACACCACTAGGTTTTGGGGTAATTTGTTATACAGCAATAAGTAACTAACATGGAGGTTATTAAAGTCAAACTCTTGTGCCTCAAATTTAATTGAAAAACAGGAAAACTTGTTTTATGGCTTTTGAATTCCTTTACCTACTTCCAAGAATATAAGTTTTGAGATAATAGAGGATTTGGTAAGATTGATGAAGAGATTTCTTTGGATAAAGCTGTTGCCATGCTGAGTTCCAACCCCCACTTTGGCAGAAGGCGGGGGAAGTGACACCTTCACCACCAACTGCTGGGGAATTTCAAGGGGACAACTCAAGAGAGTTTGGAAATGTGTTCTCTCCAGTTGGAAGACCTAGAAAACTGGTGCCTGACTCAGGCCTGAGAAAGACAGCTGAGGTGGGCTGAAGGCTGCTATCTGACTCCTGCCTGAGAAATCTAGAGAGCAAGAGAAAGGCAAAGCTAACTACTTTGGTATATGAGACAGTGTTCTTATGGCAAAGGATGCATGAATTTTTCTCATGGACCATGCTGTGGGGTGATATCTCACTGTCCAACAAACCATCATCAGATCCAAGGACACTTCAGCTGAAAGAGTTGACGTGAACCGCCTGGTGCCCAAGGACTGAGGAGAGGACAGCAAGTGAGCAGACAGGGTGGAGATACATCTACAAGGGTTAACGGGCACAGTGGGAACCTCTGGTTAGCTCATGAAAGTGTCAACCCAAGAGAAAGCCAGCTTTAACACCAGGCAGGCCCAGAGAGCACAGATTCAATCAGGTAAATAAGAACTGCTCTATCTCCAGCGCTTCTGCTTCAGCTTCTGAGGCTGTGGTAGAATAGCTAGCATACGGGTGAGTTGAGGAAAGGAGAGAGCAAAGGACTTCATCCCATTGCTCAGCTATAGGTTTCAGGCCTAAAGCAAGCTCAAATTAGCAAAAGAATTAATGCCAAGTTTGTAGTGTTGACTAAAGAGGTGACTAAATATTTTGACTTGATGAGTTTATGTGATTAAAAGTGATAGGAAGGGGCTGGCCAAGTGGCTTAGTTGGTTAAGAGTTGGCTTAAGAGCGCAAGCTCTGAGCAAAAGGGCTGCCCGTTTGATTTCCACATGGGCAAGTGACGCTGTGCCCGAGCTGAGCTGTCACTGAGCTGCCAACAGGTGGCAGGATGGCTCAGCTGGTGTAATAAGATTGACTGTTGGATGGTGAGGTACGCCCATCTAGTTGAAGTACCCGCAACTAAGACTGAACTTGGCACCTTGAGCTGAGCTGCCATCCAGATGGCTCAGTGGATAGAGTATGCACTTTTAACAACAAGGCTGCCGGGTTTCACTCCCGCATGGGATGGTGGCTATGCCCACCCGCAACTAAGATTGAACTCGGCACTTTGAGCTGAGCTGCCACCCAGATGGCTCAGTGGATAGAGTGTGTGCTCTTAACAACAAGGTTGCAGGTTCAACTCCTGCACGGGACAGTGGCTACGCCCACCCGCAACTAAGATTGAACACAGCACCTTGAGCTTAGAGGCCACGAGCTGCCGACGGTCAGCCAGATGGCGACTGGCGCCCTCCACAATGAAGATTGAAGAACAACAACTTGGCTGGTCTCCCTCCCCTATTCCCCAACACTGTTCCCCTCCCCCAAGTCCCCAATAAAATCTTAAAAAAAAAAAGTGACAGGAAGACTGACAGAAATCATGTGTCTGTCTAAATCTTTACCAATGGACAGAGGAAGATCATATCTTTACAACAAAGTTTCAAATGATAGTGGGGGACAAAAATAAAACTACGAGGTGTGATAAAAAACTATGGTGAATGTTTAAATAAAAAATTTATTACAGGGCCGGGCGAGTGGCGCGATGGTTAAGAACTGGCTTGGGAGGCCAGAGGGCCGTGGTTCGGATCCCACATATGAGGGCCAGTGACACTGCCCTCCACAGCTAAGATGCTGAACAACAGCTAAACCTGGAGCTGGGCTGACGTGAGTTGCCGGCGATTGCGTAGGCTGCAGCCCCTGTGGCAGTGGGTTGCCATGGGCTACCGTGTGTAGCCAGCAGCCAGCGTGAGCGGCCAGCAGCTGCAGTGAGCGGCCGTCCAGAAGCCAGCGACTGATCTGCCTCGCCCGGGAAGAGCGCAATGATGGTGCCAACTTGGGCCAGTGAAGCAATGTCCTCCACAACTAGACTGAAGAACAAAACGACAGCAACTTGTCTGTTCCCCTTCCCCCAATTCCCCAGCATTGTTCCCATCCCCCCAATTCCTCAATAAAAATCTTTAAAAAAAAATTTATTACAGTAAAAGACACATTGCCATTAATCCCCCTCAAAATACTCCCCCTCCCTTCGAACACACTTATCCCATCGTTCTGGCCGCTTTCCGAAGCAGCTCTGGAAGTTCTCTTTCGTGACTGTCTTTAGTTGCGCTGTTGTGGCTTCTTCAGTATCCTGAATCATTTTGACTTTGGGGAAGAGCCAGAAGTCACATGGTGACGGATCCAGTGAGTAAGGTGGATGAGGACACACCATAATGTTTTTATTTGACAGAAATTGCCGGACCAGAAGTGATGTGTGACATGGAGCATTGTCATGATGGAGGACAAAACCATTTGCTCATTTCTTAGGGCATTTTCTACAAGTACGAGTAATACCAAGGTGATGTTAATTGTGTTTTTTGACCTTGATGGAACTGTGCGAGCCAAGTTTGTACCCAGGAACACTACGGTGAACTCAGAATATTATAAGGGCTTATTGGAGTGTTTAAGAAACGTGCATAGAAAACGGCATAATCACTTCTTTCTAAATTGCAAACCCATCCGAAAAGGTCCTTAGCACCAACACTAAGTTTCTTGCTTCATGGCTGGCTGCAATCCAGGGCCAGGACAAGAGCTAGTGTACCTGGTGTGCACACTTCAGTATTGTCCCATCCAGTGCACCCATGTGCATCCACACATTGACCAGCTGCCCTCTAAGATATGAATGAAGGCATTATCTGAGGGGGCACTGGGGTTCATAGCCCGGGGTCAAATTCACACTAATTCTAAAGTTCTGACCATTTCTCATCACTGGAGCCCTGATGGTCTGGGATACTCGGGAAGCTATATGTAGGACTTGGAGAGCAGGGCTGTCTTTACATCCCCTTCTCATGAGACCCTGATACATGAGACTCTCATTACCAGTTTCAGGAGGCCGGAGTCTATTGAAGTCAGAAATCCCTAGTGGATGCTTTCCCCAACTCATGTACTTACTGGTGCACTCATCAACAGGTATTTAGTGAGCACTTTTCAAGCATCAGGAACTAACTATCTTAGGGGCTGAGGATACAAAGATGGATCAGCCACTGTGTCTTCCTGGAGTTCATATTTACTGACTGCTTTCAGCATCTCTGCTGCAGGCAGTGAGTGATGCAGGCTTAGTCTCATCTAGCACCTGAGCCTGTCCTGGCCCAGGAAACATGGAGGCCAGACAGTCAGGACCAAAGACAAAACCATACCTGAGGGACTGTCTAGTGAGGAGACCCCTGACGTGCAACCAGAAACAGGTCCCCATCCTGCTGGCTCTGTTGCACTTGGAAGTGAGATGTAATGCTGTAGTCTTCACGACTGCCAGGAGGAGCTCTCCTCCGTCCCTACTGTTTTGTGTGCCTCACTCCAGCTTCAAAGTCCTAGGTGGGGTCTCTAATGGGCTGATCCCAGGTTCGTCTCCATCCTGGCTGCCAGGGAAAAGGGACATAGAAGAACCTGGCCTTCTGTATGGGGAGGCCGACTCTCAGCAAGACTCGGGGGGTGGGACTTCCCCACATACAGTAAGAGGGTTCCGATGGCTAATGTTCACTACATTAATAATATATTGAAATGAATTTGTACTTTATAAATCATGATAGCATCTACATACAAGTGAAAAATAGAGATACATAAGATGTATTATCTAGTCCCATCTAGTCAGCAAACTTTTTCAGAAAAAGGCCAGATAGTAAACATTTTAGGCTTTGCATCTCTGTTGCAACCATTCAACTCTGCTCTTATAGTGTCAAGGCAGCCATGACAATATATAAATGAATGAGAGTGCTTGTGTTCTAACAGAACTTTATTTATGGACACAAATTTGAATTTCATATAATTTTCACATGTCATGAAATATTCTTTTGATTTTTTTAAACATTTAAAATACAAAAATTCCATTCTTACAGCTTCTGGGTTGTACAAAAGCAAGCACGTGCTTAATTTGGCCTG